ACTTTCTCTGGCATGAACTCAGTGACAGGCTCTCTGATCACCTCCCCCGGGGGGGGGGTGCAGCTTTCCCTATCCACAGAGGAAAACAATGCAACCAGTCCCCCAAAAAATAAATAAATAAAAGAATCTGTATTAAAAAATAATTTCAGGTTCTATCTATTCCATTCCCCCTTCCTAGGGATAATCATGCATTCCCCTGTACTCTTTGATCCCTCCTTGTTACTTAGCCTCTCTGGGTCTGTAGATTGTAGAGTTATTCTTTACTTTTCAATTAATAGCCATGGTTTTTGTTTTGTTTTGTTTTGGGGGGGAGGGTCTGAGTTACATCACTCAGGATGGTTTTTTTCTAGTTCTATCAAATTGCTTGCAAATTTCATAATGTTATTTTTTTTTAAACAGCTGAGTAATACTCCATTGTGTAAATGTACCACATTTTTTTATATCAGTTCTTCTGTTGAGGGATATCTAGGTTGTTTCCAGTTTCTGGCTATTGTATATAAAACTGCTATGAACATAATTAAGTCAGTGTCCTTATGGTAGAATGGAGCGTCCTCTGGGTATATGCTCAGGAGTAGTAAAGCTGGGTCTTGAGGTAGACTGACTTCCAATTTTCTGAAAAACTGCCAAAGTGATTTCCAAATTGGCCGTACACGTTTGCACTCCCACCAGCAATGGAGGAGTGTTCCCCTTGTTCCACATACTAGCCAGCATGTGCTGTCACTCGTGTTATCGATCTTGGCCATTCTGATAGTCCTAAGATGGAATCTCAGAGTCATTTTGATTTACATTTCCCTGATGGCTAAGGATGCTGAACATTTCTTAACATTTTTCATTTTTCTGCCATGTGAGATTCCTCTGTTGAGAATTCTCTGTTTAGCTCTGTACCCCATTTTTTAAATTGGATTGTTTGGTTTGTCGATGTCTAGTTTCTTGAGTTCTTTATATATTTTGGAAATTATTCCTCTGTCAGATGTAGAGTTGGTGAAAATTTTCCCATTCTCCAGGCAGCCATTTTGTCCTATTGGTGATGTCCTTTGCTTTACAGAAGCTTTCTAGTTTCATGAGGTCCCATTTATTAAGTGTTGATCTTATTGTCTGCACTATTGGCATTCTGTTCAGGAAGTTGTCTCCTGTGCCAATGTGTTCAAGGCTATTCACCACTTTTTCTTCTATCAGGTTTAGTGTATCTGGTTTTATGTTGAAGTCTTTGATTCACTTGGACTTGACTTTTGTGCAAGGTGATAGATATGGATCTGTTTGAGTTCTTCTGTATACTGACATCCAGTTAGATCAGCACCATTTGCTGAAGATGCTTTGTTTTTCCCATTGTGTGATTCTGTCTTCTTTATCAAAAATCAGGTGTCATAGGACTGTGCATTTATATCTGGGTATTTGATTTGATTACATTGATCAACTTGTCTGTTTTTAATGCCAATATCATGCTTTGTAGTAGAGCTTGGCAACAGAATAGATATCGAAGGTGGAACTGGGAGCAGGTGGAGATGGGAACAGAAGGTATCAGATATGGGAAAGATAGAGAGAGATAGTTCTAGAGGAACACCTGAAATTGGGGAGGGGGCATGCATCTGGGAGGTAAGATGGAAACCTAGTACAATAAAAACTCCCAGTAATCTGTAGGTGACCTAAGGAATCTTAGTCTGACTTAAGACCCCTGGTAACAGGGAACACAGAGCCTGAACTGGCCATCTCCTATAACCAGGCAAGACCTCTGTGGAGGGATTGGGACGCCAACCCAGCCACAAAACCTTTGACCTACAATTTGTCCTGCCTACAAGATGTGCTGGTATAAAGGTGGTACAGAAATTGTGGCCAACCAATGTCTGACCCAGCTTAAGACCTATGCCACAAGACCCATGCCTGATGCTTCTTGGAGAGCCCTGACCTAGAGGCTGGATAGCACAGAGACCTAGGGCAAAACAAAACAAAAAACAATGAAATGATTCCTAATGATATTATGCTATACTCATAGCTTGGCATCTAGCCTGGTTGTCCTCAGAGAGGCTTCCTACAAACAGGGAGTCTGAATGGGTTTGACCTAGGTCGTTTGTATATGTTACAGTGTGTGCCTTGGTCTTCTTGTGGACCTCAGTGAAAGCAGTGGCTGTCTCTAACTCTTTTGCCTGCCTCTGGGACCCTTTTCCTCTATGGGGTTGTCTTCCCTAGCCTTAATATGAGGAGAGGTGCCTAGTCTTACTGAAACTTAATATGCCATGTTAGGTTGCTATCACTGGGAGGCCTGCTCTTTTCAGAAGGGAAATGGAGGAGGAGTAGATTAGGGAAGAGGGGAAGTGTGTGTGGGGGGGAACTGGGAGGAGAGGAGGGAGAGGAAACTGTAGTCCTGTGTAATATATAAGAGGATAGATAATAAATAAATGAATAAGTAAATAAACGAGAATGGCAGGCAGGTGGAAATAAGTACTTGAGAAGTAGGAAAACGTGGATCTCCCTTAGTTTGAGGCCAGCTTTGTCTACATAGTGAGTTCCTGAACTACATAGTGAGACTTTGTCTCAACATTTTTTATTTTAACCCTGCAGGTATTAAAGCAGATGCCGAGACTTATAGCCAAACTTTGGGCAGAGTGCAGGGAATCCTGTGAAAGAAGTGGGAAATAGTAAGACCTGGAGAGGACAGGAGTACCACAAGGAGATCGACAGAACTAAAAAATCTGAGCCCAGGGGTCTTTTCTGAGATTGATACTCCAACCAAAGACCATTCATGAAGAAATAATAAATAAAAGAATAATACATAAAAAAAGAGAGGCAAGTGGAAGGAAAACAAGTGATGTCCTGGCAAAGATGCCATGACTGACAACATCATGTTAAGGTATGAAAACCGTGGCTTACATTTGTTTATTTTTGAAGACATTCAATAATCAACCAAAGTGGGATTAGATGCTGGCAGCACAGCAACTGCCCTGGGACTTTGAGACTGTTGCTATTTAGTTGCTCTTTTCTCAATGCAGGTACTCGCAGGTCTTTATCTTCTTCATATTCGATCTGGTTGGAGCTCAATTATTGGTACTCAACGTTTTCCTTCAGAATCTGTAAAGGAAGAAAAACAGAGAAAGATATAACTCCCTTTTAAAATGCACAGTAGCTTCTATTTCTTCCCCCTCTTCCTCCATCCACTGGATTCCTGTGTTCAGTTTGGCTCAGTGACTGAGAGGGGACATGTGTGAAACAGCCACCAGATCCTCAGTAACCATTTCCACATGGTAGTGTAAATTCTGGCTTCCTTCCGGACACAGCTATGTCTCTGTGTGTGTCTCCTCGCCTATGCTCCTTGTTCTGAACTGCATATGCATCTGTGGTCTTGGTTCCTCTGGCCTCTGGGCCTTGTCTTTCCTTGGTGCCCCAGTTCTAGCCCTCCACAACCAGCTCATTCCAAAGCTGTGCTTTTCAGGACACAAAGTGTCCCGGATTGTGTCCACTGGACATATGAATACAAGGGTGGAGTTGTGAGTGAACATCCTGATTGGTCGGCCACATGCAAGTCCATATCAACTTGTGTTCATACAAAATGGGGAGAACTCAGTGAAATGCTTTGGCAAAGGGAATTCACATGGCCCAACACATTTCCCAGCTCATTCTATTATTCAACCTGATGGAAGGAAGAGATTCTCCTGGCACAGCCTTTGTCTACCACCTACCACTTGTGGTCTTTCCTGAAGGGACCTGGTAATTCATATATGATTCCTCTGCAGAAAGAAGAGAACCAAAAGAATATTTAAAGCTCATTGACTGTTGCAGCCATTCTCGTTTTCTCCTATCTCAGTCCTTCCTTCCCCATGGAGCTTCCCCGGTGGCCTTGCTCTATTAGGGGCAACAAAGTGTGAGGTCACACCAGTATGGAGCGTTGCTCTATGGCAACAGCTCTCTCCTGGCCCCACAGACAATAGAACAAACCACTGTCTGGTCAGATAACTCTGTTGCTACCTTCTGATAACTTCCCACGAATGCTGGCTTCAAAATAGAAGTCACTGGGCAACTGCTCAGTGGTGCCAGCTTCCTTCTACAAAGAGGAAATGAGGTGAAGGAATAGTAAAAATAGGAGCACACTAGATTGTACCTGTGCTGGGTGCTGTGTATGCAGACTTGGAAACCATGCTTGCTTCTGTGTCAGTATTCTAAAGTTTTCTCCTACTCCCCAATTCAGCTACTGAGAACAAAGTTCTCAGCGGCCATGAGATTTCTGACTTGGGTCTCTCAGGCCCTGTCCTCCTCACCAACCTTCTGAAGAAGATTCCCCCATTTGCCCTCTTGGTTATTTTGAGCTTTGTAAAGGAGACTTAAATAGAGAAGTGAAAAGAGCCATGCAGATGGCATTAGGACTGAGCTAAGGTGACTTGGCAGTTTGAGGTATGATAAGAAAGTGGTCTTGGTATGAAAGCAATCACTGGTGTTCTTCTCCCTCTTCCTCAGGATGTAGGTGTAGGATGTGAAAGTGAGTTGTTACTGAGCCCTTCTTACCACTACCTCATGTCTACAACCAGCCAACAGTAGCCCTGCCCATGTGCTCCACTGACTCACCATCCAATCCATCTTGTTCCTTTTCTCCATACAGGGCCATACTGGATTGCGCATTTTCTGCATCCAGGACTATACTAGTTCTAGATTCTGAAACCAAAATTTAAAAGAGTCAGTATTCAAAAATAATCCTGGGAGATATTCTGAATCAGTGATTTTTCAAACTTTGTGCTAAGATCCACAATAAAATGTGTGTGTGTGTGTGTGTGTGTGTGTGTGTGTGTGTGTGTGTGTGTGTGTGTATGTGTTTCATATCATAGCGCAGTTCATGCATTTGTGCACGTACATACAGATTACCTTGGTGTATAGTCTAAAGGCCTTTAGATTAAGTATTAAATTATTTGAAGAGATTTCATAGCCCTCTACATAAATCTTCTCACTGATGAGTTAAGATCTCCAAACTGAGAGGTGCAAAGCTCTTATTATTTTTGATTTTTTGAATTTGGGAATATATGGGACAGTGGGTTTTAATATTTGGAGGGGATGCAAGATACAAAGGTAACAAAGTAAAGAGCAATATAGACCTTTGTTAATAAAAATCAGTGTATACCACATCATATTCTTTCACAAGACACTCTATAATCAAGTATAGTTGGAAAATTTAGGACCAGTTACCAGTCAATGAGTCAAAATATAGGATGACAGTTTTGTAGCACTTTCTATAAAAGAAAATTATAGCCCTAGTCTTCCAAAACCACACAGCCACCCAGAGGACCAGTAAATTTTAAGATAAAAGAATCCAAGTTAAAACCAGCTGCCCCTTGGACTTCTCCAGCCTGCAGCCCCCACCTTCATTCTGCCTCTAGGCTGTGATTATTTTGGCTCTGTCCCTGGAACTTGATCACCAGCCAAGCTCTCAATTGCCTAGTCACACTCTGCCCCCACCCCACTAAATCCTCTTTGGTCTGAACCAAGGGCCTTCGG